CGTCCGAGCCTGGCCTCAGCTCGGCGAGGTGGACGAGCTGCGGACTCAGCTGCCTGGCTCGGACTCCCGGCCCGGCTCGAGACCCCCGGACTTGCTCGAGATTCCCGGACTTACTCGAGACTTCCGGACTTGCTCGAGACTCCCGGACTTGCTTGGGATTCTCGGGCTTGCTCGGGACTCTGGATTCGCTGGGGCCACCGGACTCGTTTGGGACCCGAACTTCTTCAGGACCCCGGGCTAGCTCGGAACTCCTAGACTAGCTCAGGATCCCCGCACCTCCTTGGGACTCCCGGGCTAGCTTGGGACTCCTGGACTAGCTCAGGATCCCGGACTCCCTTGGGGCTCCCGGGCTCGCTCGGGACTTCCGGACTCGCTCAGGACTCCCACACTCACTTAAGATCCCCGGACTCCATTGGGACTCCCGGGCTAGCTTAGGACATCCGGATTCGCTCGGGACTCCCACACTCGCTCAGGACTCCCACACTCACTCAGGATCCCCGGACTCCCTTGGGACTCCCGGGCTCTCTCAGGATTCCCAGGCTCGCTCGGTGGAGTCCCGGTAGGCCTGTCGCGCCACTAGGCTGATGATGATGGGGCGCGGCACTAGCCGCCGCACCCCTTGGCTGGTTACATGGTGTGGCACTAGCCGCCGCACCCCTTGGCTGGTTACAGGGTGCGGCACTAGCCGTCGCACCCCTGGGCCGGTGACGGGACGCGGCTCTGGCCGTTGCGCCCCTGTGGCCCTGGTCGTCCTGGGGGGCCCGCCGCCTCTCCTCAGTCCCGCCGGTGTCTACCTGCTTTTCTGACATCACCGGGCGGCTGGTAACCATCAGCTGCAGTCTTTTCTGACGTCACGGGGCGTTTGGTAACCGTCAGCTGCAGTCCGCTCTGACGTCATGGGGCGTTTGGTAACCGTCAGCTGCAGTCCGCTCTGACGTCATGAGGCGTTTGGTAACCTCAGCTGCAGTCCGCTCTGACGTCACGGGGCGGCTGGTAACCGTCAGCTGCAGTCTATTCTGACGTCACGGGGCGGCTGGTAACCGTCAGCTGCAGTCCGCTCTGACGTCACGGGGCGTTTGGTAACCGTCAGCTGCAGTCTGTTTCGAATGCTCGTCTTTACAGCCTTGGTCAATACGTTTTAGTGATATTAGCTGTGTCGCTGCTGGGTACGCACGCTGTGGACTTTGCAATGGCCCTTGCCAATGTGGCTAAAGGCCGGCCACATTCCGCGTTATTTATTATCATGGGCTCGTCGTGAAAGTCGTGCAATACCTCGTCGACAAGAGAAGCATGCAAGCACAAATATTCATTGGTGCATCCAAAGAGACAATGGAGCCACGACGTCCCAAAGGCGTTGCACACTGCATGTTTTTATCGTCCCCTTCCCTCGGATTCCACGTGGGATTCGTCCATGCGAACATTTATACGTCAACAATAACGTGTTCAGCGACCCACAAAGAGCATCGTTGGAGATACACGAATAGCAGCCGCCTGTATCCTCGTGTGCTGTACCGCCCAACGTTGACATACTGCGGTACAGTCTACCACAAAAATCGGTGGAGACTTCAACGCAAACGATATTGGAAGCCGCGGCCGCAGCGTTGTGTACCAAATACGCTCACAGTAAAAATTGTTTGAAGCTGTTCACACCCTGAGCGTCTGGAGTACGTGCCAGATTCACGGGTCACTACCGTATTTGAAAGCGAACCTCGCGGCTCCTCTAATGCCTAACTGGACGTCAACTCTGGACAGACGAGTTTGGGGCTTGTGAGCAGCCTTAGCCGTACCATATGACACGTGATTGCCAGCGGTGCACTGCGATTCTGATATTTGAAGATGCTTTCTGCAGATAAGGTGGGTTTCTAGGCCATGAGCGAATTATGTTATTTGCGTTTTGGAACAATTGTGGTAAGCAATTTCCAATTCGAGATTGTCACTAGACATCGTGAACGAATAGCCTATTGCAACTCTGGCTGATGATAGGCCACGAATGAAGGCGCCGTCCAGTGGGACGGTGACTTGAAAACGAAAGCGCTGACCTGGTCAACTTTGTGGCGCCCATTCTGATGCTTACGGCCACTGTGCGCCACGCTTTCAACCGAAACACGTCATGACTCATTACTATGTCAGCGGCAGTTTTAGATTGCGTCGAACTACCACAGGGCAAACTGGTGACCTTTAGATAACTTCAGGCTATGTCGGCCCCTTTGGATCGTGACAGCTCAACTAGACAAGAAAAATAGCAATACAGCATGCACCTGCACTCCGTGTATCAATAGCAAATGACGCCGATGAGAAGCCCACGAATAATATCGTCAACTGCCCAAGGCGGTTCATGAATGTCATATCCGGATACTGCCGCTCAGAAACTCCGCGTACTTATGTTCACTTCTCGTCAGACCTTTGGGACAAGCCGGGACGTGGTCGACTGCTCGGAATCCTAACGAATTAGTTAACTGTAGGCCATAATAGTCGGCTGGAAGCGTCATTTGCTCTCCAAATCGCACCCCGTGATTACGTCATGAGAACTGCTCCGAATATCTCGCTAGGATTGCCACCACCCCCATTCTCGGAATTCACACTCATGAATTACTGCCTCGCAAAACACTGCGATGACGAATGGCTCAGTTATTCGCCATTTAGATAGCGTTATCCCCGTGCATTAATTCTGCGCCGCGCCTCCGCTGGCCTGCGGAACTGGCACCGCGGTCGACACCGACACGGCGGACACCGCGAAGCCCTCCGCCGACCGCCGCCTACATTTTAGATCGTAATGTTGTTTACTTACTTTTCTGGCCGGACGTACGCTTGTAGTTACGTGCTTTGAATAGTAATATATTGCTTCGTAGATCATTTTAAAGAGCTGTGGTGCCGCATTGTAGCCTACCGTGGTTCATTGGTTGCACCGGAGTCGCTGGAAGATATGAATAACTTCCAATATTGAGCCATTTTTTTAGCTGTGCCGTCACCTTTTTCCCCTGAAGAATATTGATCTCATCTCAACTATCGTACTAAAGTATGGATGTTCCCAGAAATGCCGTGGAGGCTCGGTGTGATTTTAATGACGCAAGGCAGTACTGCTGGCCTTCTTTCTCGTCGAATAGCTAGAAGAAAGGAGAGGTAGACTTATACATACATATATATATATATATATATATATATATATATATATATATATATATATATATATATATATTGGCTACGTGCTTTTGTCAAGTTATTCGCTGCCAGTTGTCATCGTTGTGACAAAAGCATGTGGCCGAAGTATTTATTCATCTATCTCTCCTTTTTCGTGATCGTTTGACGAGGAATGAGGCAAAGAGTATTGCCTTACATATATTTTATGTTCCTCGCAGGCGCACTGAATAGTTGGAATAATAATGTAGGTCTAACACAAGTAATATTGGTTCAGCCAGGTATTTGACAGACGTGCGCTACCTTCTTCAAAACTGGTGAGCGTGCTTCTAGATAACTGTAGTAAGTCTTGATTTATCGTCGCAAATATGTAAATGTTACACACACACGCGCGCGCACGCACACGTACAAGCACACGCACACACACACGCACACGCACACGCACACGCACACGCACACGCGCACACATACACACATGCACATAGATAGATAGTATATAGAGAGAGAGAGTAGAAAAAAGAGAGGAGAGGAGAGTAGAGAGGAGAGAGAGAGAGAGAGAGAGAGAGTAGAGATGAGAGAGAGAGAGAGAGGAGAGAGAGAGAGAGAGAGAGAGAGAGAGCGAGATGAGAGAGAGGAGAGAGAGAGAGAGAGAGAGAGAGAGATATTAGTATATATAATATATATATATATATATATATAACGCAATATATATATATCATATATCATATATATATATATATATATATATATATATATATAACACTGAAACACATCCTATATTCTCTCGCAGCGCGTTTCACAATGCAGCGGCAGCATCTTCAGGCGAAAGAAACAACGTAACGCAACCATCAAACAAAAACACTCAAGACGGAAACATGGCCAATCCAACGAGAACGCACAAGACGGAAACATAACCAATCTACAAGAGCACGTACAAGCGGAAAAAAACCGCACTACAACGAGAACGCACAGGACGGAAACGTAGCCAATCCAACGAGAATGCTCAGGACGGAAACGTAACCCAATCTACCGAGAACGCACAAGACGAAACGGAAGCAATCCAACGAGAACGCATATTGCAGTACCACAAATCCCATCCCCAGAATTATCGATCAATTTCACTTTATACTACAATGTGTGATGGAAAAGACGTGTTAGTTGGTGAGAGACGATTTCTAAATATAAAATGGTTCTGAAATTCTGAAATCCGATGCAAGATAGGTTCCTTTTCCGGAGGGGAAATTGTCGGTTAGGGCAACAATCGGCTGACCTTAGCGCGAAAGTAAAATATAATATTTTTATGCTAGGACATCGTGGACATCACACCTTTCTTGAGGCTTTGCGGCTTAATTATTAATGCTACGCAGTACACTTTGGACCCTCGGTCTCTAATTCAACTAGTCTCAATATGTTACAAAGTTCACTTTATGTCGCCAAATATGGTGTTCAGTTAAGCTTAATGTTTGAAATACATTTGCATGAAATATGAATGGTAAGACTGACTCTCCTGAAGAGCACATGTTTCCGATCTATAGTGAAACTTGACGACATATTGCATGTATTGCAATTTGAGGCCGAAGTCAAAATGTACCGTATTCATAACATTGCGCTTTGACCTGAAATACAAACTGACTGCTGATCGCCCATTGCAGTTGTTGTGTCTGGCTTTTTGATTGCCGTCATCTTGTTGTTAGGATTTAAATTGTATCACTTCGCTGCACGATCTTTCTCAGAACGGCAATAGACATTTGCACGTGTGCTCAAAGCTGGGAAAATTAGCTCAAATCCACTTTCAGTCTCTGAGTTAATCGAGCGTCCACCGTGCATCTCTATCACGGTCTCACCAGGCTATGGGTCACTTTCAGCTGGACCACCGACGAATGGGGCGCGTGCAGCGCTTCCTGTGACGGTGGCCACAAACTGAGGAGGGTCTGGTGCTCGGAGACGGCCAACAACACCCTGGTGCAGGTACGTCGGCACGGACAGCGTGCTTCTCGGTGTCCAAAACCATCGCTGCCGCCCAGAGACTGTCCTGACCGGACGTGCATAAGCATGTCTTACCGTTCAGAGACCAGCGCTATCTGCCTCCCGCGGATACCAAGGTGCGTCTCCCGGAGACCGGCTCTCTCTGCCGCCCGCGGCGACCAAGCGCGTCTCCCGGAGACCGGCTCTCTCTGCCGCCCGCGGAGACCAAGCCACGTCTCCCGGAGACCGTCCCTCTCTGCCGCCCGCGGCGACCAAGTCGCGTCTTCCGGAGACCGGCTCTCTCTGCCGCCCGCGGAGACCAAGCCACGTCTCCCGGAGACCGGCTCTCTCTGCCGCCCGCGGCGACCAGGTCGCGTCCCGGAGACTGGCTCTCTCTGCCGCCCGCGGAGACCAAGCCACGTCTCCCGGAGACCGTCCCTCTCTGCCGCCCGCGGCGACCAAGTCGCGTCTTCCGGAGACCGGCTCTCTCTGCCGCCCGCGGAGACCAAGCCGCGTCTCCCGGAGACCGGCTCTCTCTGCCGCCCGCGGCGACCAGGTCGCGTCTCCCGGAGACTGGCTCTCTCTGCCGCCCGCGGAGACCAAGCCACGTCTCCCGGAGACCGTCCCTCTCTGCCGCCCGCGGCGACCAAGCCACGTCTCCCGGAGACCGTCCCTCTCTGCCGCCCGCGGCGACCAAGTCGCGTCTCCCGGAGACCGTCCCTCTCTGCCGCCCGCGGCGACCAAGTCGCGTCTCCCGGAGACTGGCTCTCTCTGCCGCCCGCGGCGACCAAGTCGCGTCTCCCGGAGACCGTCCCTCTCTGCCTCCCGCGGATACCAAGGTGCGTCTCCCGGAGACCGGCTCTCTCTGCCGCCCGCGGCGACCAAGCCACGTCTCCCGGAGACCGTCCCTCTCTGCCGCCCGCGGCGACCAAGTCGCGTCTCCCGGAGACCGTCCCTCTCTGCCGCCCGCGGATACCAAGGTGCGTCTCCCGGAGACCGGCTCTCTCTGCCGCCCGCGGCGACCAAGCCACGTCTCCCGGAGACCGTCCCTCTCTGCCTCCCGGGATACCAAGGTGCGTCTCCCGGAGACCGGCTCTCTCTGCCGCCCGCGGCGACCAAGCCACGTCTCCCGGAGACCGTCCCTCTCTGCCGCCCGCGGCGACCAAGTCGCGTCTCCCGGAGACCGTCCCTCTCTGCCGCCCGCGGCGACCAAGTCGCGTCTCCCGGAGACTGGCTCTCTCTGCCGCCCGCGGCGACCAAGCCACGTCTCCCGGAGACCGTCCCTCTCTGCCGCCCGCGGCGACCAAGTCGCGTCTCCCGGAGACCGTCTCTCTCTCTGCCGCCAATAGCCGCGGTAGCTCATCAGGCCCGTATCGGGCGCATCAGCCCCACCATCGCGCGCGAGCTCAGTCTCGCCTCAGCCCGCGGCCGGCCCGGCTGAATATGCACACTGTTCCTGTAATTGAAAGGCTCTCGCGGGAGACGGTCAGAGGCAGAATCAGATTATAACTGCAGCTCTGTTGTTAGAGCGGAAATAGCCCCGGCACTAAGACGCTTAGCGGTACGCGTGTGCGTCTGAGCCCGCTGCCGCAGAGCGTTTCCTTCTGACGTGCACCCGGCTTGGCTAATGGGTTGTTCGTTGACTTCGCATGGAGTGGGGCGGGCGGGCGGGGGGCGGGGGCGGGTGGGTTGGAGCAGCCCTGTCTCCTTCCGGCGCGCGCTGGAAGCTC